TAAACAGTGTATTTTATTATAAAGGATTTTCGTTTTTCTTCTGCTCCGTACTTCGTGTGCTCCGTGCTCCGTGTGCTCCGTACTCCGTGTGCTCCGTGCTCCGTGTGCTCCGTGCTCCGTGTGCTCCGTGCTCCGTGCTCCGTGTTTTACTAATAGCCGAATTTAATTAAGGAGTTCTAGCATCAGGAAACAAAATTAACCTTTGTTGGAAAGTTATAAATAACTATATAAGTTATATAGTTAAGTAATAAAGTTATATAATAACACTATATAAAAAGTTGGTTTCTAGGAGGCCAAATAACTCAAATTTGGCTTTTTTTATCTTTCCTTTAACCACAAAAAAGTTTGACCTCTTTGGCCATCTGAAAAGACCCTGATTATAATGCTAGCCAATCAGGACTCATGAAATCCAGCTGCTGGTAGACCGCGGTGGTAGACGCAGTTTGGTCTTTTTTGGTAAATTCAGATATTTGGCTCCGAGTATGCGCAAAAGAGCTGAGCCAGCCTTGAAAATGAAAGTAAAATTTTATACATTCCAACAACATTCCAACACTTGCTGATTCGCATTTAACCCGTGATTTGACTAGTCGAAGCTACTGATCTGTGTGATTCTGTGTCTGGTTGAGGCGTTGTTGTTCAAAATGGCTTTAAATATAGCTTTAAATCCTGACTAATTTCGCTCATACGATGGCTTGTTGCGGTGGCGGTTATCCGGAAGATCGTTTTCAAACTTCAGTCGATAAGAATTTCTTCTGTCCAATCTGTACGGATGTATTGAAAGACCCAGTACAATGCCACAACCAACACCTTTTCTGTAGAGCCTGTATAACAGAGCATCTTAAGAATTCCCAAACGTGCCCCGTTTGTATGCAAGAACTCACGGAAGAAGCGTTATCCAAGCCAGCAAGAATTGTGACAGGCTATCTCGATGGTTTGATGATCATTTGCGAGCACAAGGAACGAGGATGTGTTGAATTGGTCGAGCTTGGCCTTGTTGAAGCTCACATTTCCGTGTGCGAGTATAAACCTGTAACGTGTCCTAACGAAAGATGCGAGGCTGTTGTAAACATGGCAGATTTAGAGGAACACACGAGCGAGGATTGTGAATATAGACAAGTATTTTGTGAAGAATGTGACGAGAACATGTCGCTGAAGAAATATGGAAAACATGGCTGTTTTATAAGCAAAGATGTTCAGGTATTACAAGTTTGATGTAAATTTTGCACGAATTTGTTGTTTGTACATTTTTCCCTTATCCCTCAAAAAATTGCAGAGATCAAACGAGGTTTAAATGAAAATCACTCAGAAACGACTTTGGAGTCACTCTAGTCGTCCAGTTTGCAGAATGTGTCACTAGCGCACCCGAGGGCAATTTCTTGTTGCAATTTTAGCGCACCTAGCCTAAATGTTCCTCGTGCCTTAGCTCCCAGGGTGCACTTGACATGTATAATGATGTAGGGTGTCTAACCTTCGCTGCATAACTTA